GGCCGCCATCTTGGCTGACAGTTAATTTGCATATACTCACTGATTAGCCAATGAAAAGGGTAGCGGTCGTACGCTAATTACCATGTTTCTCTTTTATTAGTGTAGATGACATATTTTAGACATGGATAGCCTGTATGATGAATTTATAGATGCAAAGGACCTGATAGACAAACAGCTGGCCTATCAATACAAGCCTGTGAATTCAAAGTGGGTGGACATTTTTTTGAGTAATGGAAACAAATTACATATTTTATTCCCTAGCCAGTTTGGCTCAGTGGATAAAGCATCAGCCCGCAGACTGAAGAGTTCCGGTTCAATTCCTGTCAAGGACACGGACTTGATTGTAGGCTCAATCCCCATCCCTGGTCGGGGTACATGTGGGAGGCAACTAATCGTTGTGTCACATTGATGTTTCTCTCTCTCTCTCTCTCTACCTCTCCCCCTCTCTTCCACTCTCTAAAAATAAGTGGGAAAATATCCTTGGATGAGGATTAACAAACAAACATAAATACATACATACATACATACATATGACATATTTTAGACATGGATAGCCTGTATGATGAATTTATAGATGCAAAGGACCTGATAGACAAACAGTTGGCCTATCAATACAAACCTGTGGATTCAAAGTGGGTGGACATTTTTTTGAGAAATGGAAACAAATGCCTATGATCTAAACACCTGCTGTTGCTGGTAAGTAAAATCCTAAGTATTTCATGCTCAAACATTCTTATTGAGAAGATAGAGTTTAATGCCGTCACATTGGACTGACACTAGGAGTCAGTGTCATGTGGGCCTGAGAAGAGCAGAGCTGCAAGTCAGAGTGCATTTTACATTTGACTGTTCAGTGTTACCGCTGCATAAAAGAAAGGAAGGGTGTCCCGAAGGCTGCAGGCAGTTCAGAAAAGTATTTATTGGAAAAGGAGACAGAATAAAAAGATTCTAGTATGTGGGACAGAAAGGAATGTGTTATTTTTATTAAACATAGGGAATATCTAATTAGTCCTCATATTTTTATTCCCCTTTTAAAGCCTTGTGTATCTTATTTTGTTTTGTATTTAAAATACCCATAACATTTTAGCACAGCAGTATGTGTCTAATTTAGAAATAATTATACACATATTGGGATGCTTGTTCAAAATTTCCTTTACTGATGAGCACAGGCCTAAATGATAAGTAACCATGTGGGCTCTGGAAGAGAAGAGTCAACGACCTGAAGCAGACTCTTTTGTTTCTTTAAAAATCAGTAAGTCTCCTGTGACTTTGGTTTTTATGAATCCATCTCCCAAAGCCAGGGTGCCCCTGGGAGAACCGATACAAACTGAGTTTCTGCACACTTGGAAACGAGGACCAGGCTCAGGAACTACAGGACACTCACTGAGGTATAAACATCCAGGGAGGACCTGCCTGAGAAGCCAGTCTGCCAGTCAGTTGGGCCCTCAACCTTGCTCTCCCCTTCTCCAATTCCATGTATATACAACTTCTGAAAACTCACATTTCCATAGATTGGGAGTTCCAAATCCTGAGGGGCCTGGGAATGGAAATCAAGAGATCTGAGAATTTGGATAGGAAAAAGAAAGCTCTATTTCCATTAATCTCGAATTAAAATTTAGCATTTCTTTTCATTTGGAAAATAGGCTGCAAACTACAGCAATATTAGTACCTGTGACTCTGTCATCACTAGGAATCACAGATATTCACATGTTACAGATACCTCAAACTGTTGTTTATGTGTACCACTATTGGAAATTATGGTAATTATTAAACCCACTCCTAGATTGTGTGATTTTATAAAGAAGCACATCTATTATATCACAGGTGTAAGTGTTTGATAATTTGATAACTGTATATCAATAAAATTGGCTTCCTTGGCAATCCTATGTATTTTGTGCATTTCTCCAGACTGCCAAAGGGGTTGGTGGCACACTGGAAGTTAGTGTCTCTGCTGTGGATCATGAATAGAAAGCTTTACAAATAGGTAGAGGTCAGTAAGCTTTGATGTACCCCTGCCTGGCACTCTAACCTTACCATTAGCTGGAGTAGGTAGCAGCTGGTGGCATATGAGTTGAAAGGACAGTAGCCCCTTTGCCCAAGACCTTCCTGTTTCCACATGTCCAAGGGTATGGCATTTCTGTAACATGCAACGAGTTGTTTTTCGACATTTAGGTGAAAATGCCTTGAGTAGGAATATCCTGAGGCTGTTTTTACCTTTGAATACCTCTGTGACAGGGAATCTCAGGGGGCATCCAATCTGAGCAGCATCTTAAATCCAGGCACGGAAGGTCAGGGGAAGTTATTTACCAGGGTTTACATCAGTTAAAGAATGATGCATTCCAAGAGGGTTTTAGTTTTATTCTGAGTAGAGAAAGTGTGCTGGGAGTCTGAGTGGGTGGCGGTAGGGGGAAGAGAGAGAGGATGGGAAGAGAAGGGGATGGAAAGGAGCTCTGGGAGAACTCAGAGCCATTCTTCAGGGCACCACTTCCTCCAACCCAACATTCCAGTGCCTGGCATCAGCTCTCCTATGCATCTTGAGGAGTCCTAACTCCCTAGGACCAACTTAGATTTCTCATAGGTTAGTCACATTACTTCTCAGAAGTACTTTTAAGCACATGGACTAGATTCAGCAGAGTTCACAAGATTCAATGTATATTTTAGCTTTTTTTTTTAAAAAAAGAGAAATCTGCTATTATTCCTAGTCCCACAGCACCCCTAATGCCGCTTGGTGACTACTAGATGACAGCCTTTGACAAATATATCATGGGCTATTATGTAAGGAAATGGCCTAGCCCTAGAAGGCAATACCGGGGTGAGATGAGAAGTTATGAGAAGGTATAATTCCAAAGTCAAGTTAAGTTTCTTTCTGGAAGTGGATTATCCAATTCTGGCACTCTATACCTTTCCCGTCAGATACTTAAGCCCACCTAATCCTGGGCTTGGATGATAAAACTAGGATCCTGACCGCCCTGTCACATCTAGATGCCCCCTTAGATGGTGGGTAATGAAGGCTGCTTGGGCTTTGAAACCCGACAAGCCTGAGCCCTCACCTTTGCACCCCAAGGAGACTTCAGCTCCCTCCACTGAAAACGGAAACGATCTTCTGGAGAGTAAGTAACAGGCGTGGGGTGCTGGACACAAAAGTCCCTGGAATGATGAATGAACTTCAGGGTTAAAAATCTCCTGGGATTCCTGCTACACCCAGACCCACCGTCTGCGAATGCTTGTGGGTTCCGCTCCGTCCGTCCGGCAGGAGGCAGCAGACCCCAGCCCCAGGCTCAGGGCCAGAGCAAAAGCAGGGCAGATGGAAGGAGCGGCCAGACAGCCCTGCCCGGGGGAGGCCGGGCGGCTCGGTCCCCCCTGCAGACGTCCTTGAGCCCCGGAGACGGAAGTGAGCGGGGTTTTCACTCCTCATGCAAAACAACCGTCTAAACATAATAGATGACATCAGCGAGGGCTTTTCAATTCCTGGATGGCAGCGGCGAGCTGACCCGGCTTCATCCTGGGTTTCCAAACCGCAACGACAGCCTGGCAGGGACAGAGCGGCCGCTGCCGGAGGGGACCTGCCGGAGGCCGGGGGCGACCAGTGC